GGGGCCTGCCGGCAGTCGTGGCCCGGGGCGGGGGACGGGGTCATTCCGCTGGAAAAGTTTCCAAACGGAGATGTTTGAAACGGGCTTTCAGACTCTGACGTGATTTCGCCGTACGGTGACGGTCCGTCGTCCGCGCCGGTTCCTCCGCGTTCGGAAATGGCCTCGCGGCCGTGACAGCAACCCACGGGACGCGTCGTGAACTGCCCGAGGTTTGGAGGGTGGCCCTCGGACCAGCGTCTGGAACGGGCACCCCTGGAGGGGTCCCCAAGCGGAACTTGTTGTGCGTGAGGGGGAAATGACACTTCTTTCTGGGGTGGAATGCAGTGGCTTTGTGGCGTTTACCCCAGGTTACTGTAGTCTGGAGGAGAAAATGTATAGAAATACACATTGACTGATATATAGCATCAAGTCACAGAAACAAGTGACAGCACTGATGGCATTTTTGTTTGTTGAGTTGATGTAAAAACTGATTCTTCCCTAAAGACCTTTAGAGTTATGTGCGTTTGCAAAAAGTTGTTCAGGATTCTCCTGTATTTCGCATGCCTCGTCTGAAAGGCTGATGAGTTAAAAGCCCCGTGGGGATCTCAGCAGCTGCAGGGTTTGGTATCTCTGCTCACGCATGCTCCTTGATCTCCTGCTGTGGCTCCACGTTTTCTTGTTCAGCATTTCCCCGGTAAGAAATCAAGCTTAACAACAGCAGACTGTCAGCAAGTTTACTTTCTTGATGACCGTAGTTGGTTTTGGGCAACAGACAACAGAAGAAGGCTGTTTTAAACCACTGCTGACTTGCACCGTCAGGACGTGTTCTTACATTTGCATCTGCTTGTTTTTCCCATTCTCTTTCAGTTGATACTCCTTTGTCATACTAGCATGAGGATTAAATGGCGGGTAGGAGTCAGTTTAACAGACACTGTGTTTCTTTAAGACAAATAGCTGAAAATGTCTAGGATATCTTCAACATAACATTTTCCGTGTTCCTGGTTACCATGCAGAAAGAAGTGTTATTTGTCCAGGCCATCCCCGTCTTCTGTCAAATCCAGGTTAGGGTTCCAACATCAAATACCATGTGAACGTGAAGTGTATATAGATTAATGCCTGCAAGTTCATAATAATTTTATCCTCCTGTATGTATATGCAAATCCATGGAAAACAGGACATAATACAGTCCAAATATGTTGATGATTATGCATATAAAACATTCTGAGCCACGGAGCAGGAGTATATTGGTGACTTGAAGCTGAGATTGAGAGTATATAGCATCATTAAAAGGTCCATAGTTGGAGAAAAAATCTGCCGTACTCGTCTTTCCTTGATTGGTGCTAAGATAAGGTTTATACAGATAATTATTTAATCTAAATAATGGCTAGTTTTAGTGTCACATTTTGTTTTTCCAGTAGAGGAGGATGCATTAGGTTATGGAAATTCTATTAACAGGAAATTAGTCCAGTTTGGCTTTGCAAAATACGGCATGGACCAAGTCCAGACTTCCAAGCATTATCTGTGAAATCGTTCTGTAGCATTGTAGCAGAGGGGAGGGTACGTTCTGAAGTTTGGAAGCATCCTTCTTTACATGTATGCATTAATTTTGTTCCTCAAACAAATCTTTATAATTACTTGGACGTAGGCTAAAGCTCCAGAATAATCACATTGAAAGATTTTGTGTGTGCTTTTAGCTTTTTAGTTTCTTCGTAACAAAAGACAGGTGTGATACAGATGTGAGCAGGACGTGAACGTCGTGGGGCGTCTGTGCAACACTTCCATTTCTTTTTGTCAGTGATGGAGCCAGCGTGGAACTAATCTCTGAGGTTGGAGCTCTGCATTCCTGAAATGTCGCTCAGCTTAGCACAGGCCAGTGCTGGGAACCCGCTTGTTCGCACAGTGGTAGTGCGCGTGCACTGAACTGCCATGCGGCTGTGGGATGCTGTTCAGACAAAATGGGCTGCTGCAGTAGATGTGCCCGGTGAGTGTCTGGGTACTCGCTTTCATCAGCTCCTGATCAGCAGCAACTTAACACTTCACAGTATAGTTTATGCAAAATCACTGCTATTTGGTTTTATCCACGACCTTTTTACTTATTCCAGTAAAATAAGATTAGTAAATTCTACTGATGCAAAAGCAAATTTCTAAATATTTAAAACTAGTAAGGAAGTAAGACATTGTGCTAGCTTATTTCTTTTTGTGAGATCCTGAAGCTTAGCTGCTGATGTTGTCTAATTCATTCCCCTTCAATTGACGTCTTGGTAGAAGTTGTCTACTACACTCAAATTTACCAGAGTGGAGGGATCAAAAAGGAGGCATGAAGAAGTGAACCGGGGCCATTTTATACACATACGTGTATATACAGGGGAATAAGAAATGTGGAAATCTAGGCTTTTTTCATTCTGCTGTTCACAGAACAATTTGAGGGCATTTTCCTAGTTTTGGAGGCAGAAAATTTGACTTGCTAGACTGGCAACAAAAGCATTCACTTGAAAACTTGCCAGAATGCAAACTATTTGTTTTGGCATTTTTATCTTGCATGTGAGTGGGCCGACATGCTGCAATTTTTTATACTCAAACTGCGTCCATTCTGGACACGTATTTACTGTATGTAAAAATTTCTTAGTATGACTGAGGCTATTTACTGTCATCCAGATTTGCACTTGTCCAAAGGGTTCCAAGCTTATTTTCATATTTATTATGTAAAATCCCTCACAATTAGATTTCCACCTGGCTAAGTAAAACAAATGCAGTAGCTGCCAAGGACTATGACCAATGGCAGTGTGTGCTGTGCCAGGCACCTGCAACTTTGCAGTGACAGCAAGCGCACCACCCCTGCAGCTGACTCTCACTGGTATCAAGCCTGGCACGTACAGATGAAGAACCCTGTCCGTCCCAAACTAAGCAGTAAACCCAAAGCCCGTTCGTTGCAGAATACTCTGTCTTAGGCAACTTTGTTTTTACGTGATCAAATTAAAAAAAAATCTGATACTTTCCTAGCATCTGAAATTTGATAGTTCAGGCTGTAGTTTCAAAGAGTAATACCTTTTCCCTGTCCTTGCTCTGTTGAAACTTCTTCTGGAAACATGGCAAGTTACCTCACCAGAGTCCTCTGGAAAAAAAGGTGTCTTTGACAGTGCAGTAGGGCTGGTAGAGCAGTGCTCTGTCACCCATGTCGTTTTTCTTGTGGTTGTTGCTTAGAAAAATAGCAGTTAAGTAGCCTGGAGTTTAGAGGCCACTGCAATGTTTTCTTCTTCCTTAGCAGTTATGCTGGTAAGCTGTCTCTTAAAAAAAAGCTAGGCTTTTTTTTACTGAACATCCTAAAACATGCTTATCAGTTGCAATGTAGTCCTGCTCACACTTAAGTTGTTTAAACTTGTGCCGTTACATTGTGTGTGTGTGTGGTAAGCTGTAGTTAGTAGAGCTACAGGTAAGTTGTGCCTGAACAGAAACTGAACAGAAGCAGTTTGGCTTTATGTAAAAAGGACTTGATTTTCCCAGTGTAAATTCTGATGTCATGTCATGTCTGCCAGTAGTCTCCGTGCAGACTCTGTTTTGCTTCTGGTTTTTGCCTTTTGGTCCTAAAATGCCTGTAAAAGTCTCATTAAGGCGCAAGTTTGGAGGAAGCACTGTTGTTTTTAGTGTTATTATGAATAGGTGACTTCAAGACTCCCTTTAGCAAGGCCTGTTGTGACAGGACAAGGTGTGATGGTTTTAAACTAAGGGAGGGGAGATTCAGGTTGAATATAAGGAAGAAATTTTTTACCATGAGGCTGGTGAAACACTGGAACTCTCTCAGCCCAGAGAGGCAGCGGAGGCCCCATCCCTGGAGACACTGAAGGTCAGGTCAGACGGGGCTCTGAGCAACCTGGTCTAGTTGAACCTGTCCCTGCTCATTGCAGGGGGGTTGGGCTAGATGACCTGTAAACATCCCTTCCAACCCAAAGCATTCTATGATTCTAATATGGCACCCTTCAACAACACTAAATTTACTTAAACTCTCCTAAAGAAATCACAAACCCTTTGAGATCTTTCATAAATTAATTTGCTGTTGCAGGAAGGACTCAGGGCAATGTGCGTGTTTTTAATATTACCAAGTTAAATCATCTTGGCTGCAGCTTTTTATTCATTGCAGAAAGCATTATATTAATATTCCAATTAGGTACCGTTTAGTTTTTTGGTAGAATAATTTTGAGTAAGTAGAATATGTCAAACACTGCAGCAAGATTATTGAGGTTCAAAGCACAGCACTTTGCATTTTGTTAATACCATATAGTTCTTAATGGCATCTTTACAGTTGAAACAGCATAGTGCGTTTATGTCAGCATTTGTGTTACAGAATTTAAAAGAGGCCTTTCAGCAAGAAAACACAGATGTTTTTTTAAAATGGAACTACACTTTTTGAGCTACGCAATGCTTCTGGCCTGCTGCATAGTAAACCATTTTTCTGATTAATGTGTTGATACTCTGAACATAGAAATCCTGGGAAAAGGGTTTGATTGTGTGTATTTTAGAACTGCAATTGAAGTATCACGTTTATCTTAACATTAATTTTATGAGCTATAGCTTGCCACAAAACAATTATTTTATTTTTGCCTTAACAGGATGATGGTGCTTTGTTTCCTGAGCAGAACACTGCCACTAGCAAGACGTTCATCCTGTCCACTGGGAAGACAACTCTGTTCAGCCAGCACAAATAAGCCAGTGTTGACTTTGTTCACCAAGGTAAAAGTTGTTTACAGAATAAAGCTAGGCAAGACTGTGTATTTATCAGCTTTGATATCTATGAGTCCCAGACGAGATGGCTTGGCCATGCTTTTTGTCCCTTCAAATTTGTGTAGTATTGGGTATTTTACTTTCGGGGTGTCTTTTACACCAGGCTTTATGACACACCCCTACTCATTGTAGCAAGCAAGTAGTTGCAACCAACAAATGAAGATTTCAATATGGCTGTGTCACAGTGATGCTACGGTCCCCTTACTAGGTGAAAATTGTTCTCTAACTGCCAGCTTTTCATCCTGGAAGTGGAGAACAAAGAGGAGTTGTTATATATCATCTGCCCAGGACAACCCTCAACAGCCAAAATAGGGTCTTCCAAACACTCATGTTTAATTTCAGCACTGCCCATGAGACTGAAAATATATCCAAGTAGTGCTGGTAACGAACGAGGAAGAAGTAGATTGTGCTTTACCCTCTTTCTGCTTTATTGGTTGTGTAATGCTAATGGGAATAAAATGCAGGCAAAGGTTTGTCTGTGCCGTGAGCGGGTGTGAACTGTCACCTTCCACGAATTGTCATCAGTTTAGATTAGAAGTGAATTAAAAGTAGAGTATTTAATCCAAATTAATTCACATGCAGGAAATAAGAATTAGCTGTTTCAGATTAGGTCCATGCTTACACAAACCCTAGTAAGACTCTAAGTGGGAGGGAGAGGAGACGGCCTTTTCCAGCTGTGAAAGGTATTTCATGGCAGAGGGACAGAGCCATCACCTTCACCACTGTATACCTTGCTACGTGAATTATAGGCCAAATTCTGCCATTACAAACACTGAAGCAGCGTGCCTTCATGTGGGTCACTTCTTCAGGTATGCACTGCTCTAATGATCATGATGCCTGATCAACAGAAGTCAGCTGTGTAACTGTAGTGGAAGGCCAAGGAGTTTTCAAAAATGAGAGGTTTTCTTTGACCACACCACAGGTCAGAACGCTGCAGCTGTTTGACAGTTCTCCCTGCTGGAGGTTACTGTACTCCAAGCTCTGCCAGTTGGAGGATCATGCTTAATTCCATTCAGGCAAAGTCAGCCAGGTTATCTTAAATCACCTTCTTCTGCTGTTTGAACTGACCCAAGTGACTTGATCTGAAACACATTAGAAATTACTCATGTGACTTCCTCATTCCCCTTCCAGCAAGGGAAATTCTATCAAGAGTGGCACCCACAGTGGTTTTCAGTTGATGATGGAAATGCTTTGAATATTGCTGCTGACCAAAAGAAAGGGTCTGTGCATGACCTTCCAAACCATGCCCTTGAATCAGCCTTTAGAAGAGCCATTGAAAACTGTTAACTTGCACCATGAGAAAAAATAACAGCAAGAGAGAAATAATTAAATTCTGTGGCTAAACAGTGAATTTTCATCCATGCTGCGCTGATAAAGATTTAGAAAGCAGTAAGACAGGTTGGTACAGGGGAGGGAACCCGCATTTGCAATAATGGTCACTCCTGTCTGTGTGTGTCACTTTACAGTACAAATGATCTGTGTGTTTTACTGTATGCTTTAATTGGTCCGAATATTTTCCTTTAGAAACCATGCCCTCTATGTGACGAAGCAAAAGAAGTGCTTGAGCCATATAAGAGAAGGGTAATGTATTGCAGTACTGTATACATTTTCTGTATAGAAAGAACAGTTAATCAGGATTCTCTCTTTATAAAAGAACATTGCTTGGATTTATTTGCATTTGTTATTCGTTCACGGGTGACCTCTTCAAGACAATTTCAGCACTGATTTCCATAAAACTCATTATCCAAAAGCATTTTGCGACAAATGTTTGTCAAATAAGTATTGGCAAACTAAACCAGTATACACCTTGTTGCAATAGTTTTTAAAAACACTGCTTTTGTAAATACTATTGTCTTGTCTGATAGAGGAGTTTGCAGCTTTTATTAGGCAGGTAATTATATCATTCTGGAAAAGTGTTAGTACGTGGGCCTTCAAATATTTGAACGATGTGTGACTGCAATTTTTGCCATTCTTCAACCAGGTTTTGATCTCTTTTCTTGAAGGAAGAAATGCAGAAGCATTAAGAGGTGTTCCACTCTGCTCCCTAACAAGCACCTGTTGTGTTGTCAGCTGCGTATTTGTTGTGGCTGGTGTTCATAGAGCGGGTCTGCACGAAGGATCAGGAGTATCATCCTGGCCTAGGAAGAGAGTCCTTTGCGGACACGCAGCCAGTGATCGAACACGCAGCCAGTGATTATGGCTAGGTATATTTTGTATCCACAAAATGGGCAATTGTCTGCAACATGGAAGAAGAAGTCCAAAAGCACCAAGAAAACAGCCTTGCATTTCTGAAAAAAATACTGATCAAAAGATAAGCAGGTATTGCTTTTCAGTGTCCCTTAGGTACTAACATATTTCTTTTCTGTCACAGTTTATTTTGCAGGAGGTGGATATTACCCTTCCGGAGAACTCGGCGTGGTATGATAAATACAAATATGACATACCTGTTTTTCATTTAAATGGGAAGTTCCTAATGAAGCATCAAGTAGACATTCAAAAGTTTGAGGACCACCTTATGAAACTGGAGTTGCAAAGTGATGGAAACCAGTGAAGAAAATGCAGCTGCTCTGATGTGCGTCTGAAAGAACTGTGCAACATAAATTGTGTGAAAAGCAGTATTCATTATATGGCCTCACATTTCTAAGAACACAGGGATCTAGTGTCCTAAAACACTTGAGTGACTTGTACTTTATATTGTACAAATCATCCAGTCCTGCTGCACGAGTAGCAACCTTTTCTGTATCATTCGCTGCTCTCCCAGGCTGGCTTTCCATTGACAGAATAAATGCTGCTTCATAACAGCAGATAAAGTGAAATGTGTTTGCACTGGGTTTGCGTGGCAAGGTTTTGGTAGCAGGGAAGGTTACAGGGGTGGCTTCTGTGAGAACCTGCTAGAAGCTTCCACCATGTTTGATAGAGCCAATGCCAGCTGGCTACAAGATGGACCTGCTGCTGGCCAAGGCCGAGCCCATCAGCATCAGTGGTAGTGCCTCTGGGATAACATATTTAAGAAAGGGGAGGAAAAAAACTAGACAGTTGCAGCCAGGGGGAGGGTGACATGATGCGAGAGAAACAAGTCCACAAACATCAAGATCAGTGAAGGAGGGGGCGGAGGTGCTCCAGGTGCCGGAGCAGAGGTTCCCCTGCAGCAGCCCGTGGAGCAGCCCGTGGTGAGGCAGGCTGTGCCCCTGCAGCCCAGGGAGGCCCGCGGCGGAGCAGATCTCCTGGAGCAGCCTGTTCCTGAAGGACTGCACCCCGTGGGAAGGACCCACGCTGGGGCAGTTTGTGAAGAACTGTCTCCTGTGGAAGGGACTCCACACTGGAGCAGGGGCAGAGTGTGAGGAGGAAAGAGCGGCAGAGACAAGGAACTGACAGCAACCCCCATTCCCTGTCCCCCTGCGCCACACAGGGGGAGGAGGTAGAGAATTCGGGAGTAAAGTTGAGCCTGGGAAGAGGCTGATTGATTTCAATCCCTGATTGATTTGATTGGCAATAAATTAAACTAATTTCCCAAGTCTGTTTTGCCTGTGACAGCAATTGGTGAGTGACCTCTCCCCGTCCTTATCTCAACCCATGAGCCTTTCATCATATTTTCTCTCCCCTGTCCAGCTGAGGAGGGGGAGTGATAAAGCGGCTTTGGTGGGCACCTGGTGTCCAGCCAGGGTCAACCCACCACAGTGTTTCAAGATCGTTAGTACATGTAAGCTGTAGGTCTGTAAGAGACTTCCTTGAAGAAGTCTAGGAATCTATCCTAAGTGCTCATTTGAGATGAAGAAGAGAGCATTTACTGTAAATGAAACTTCATTAAAGACAGCACACTCTCACTGAAGCAGAGTCACTGTAGAACAATGATCACAATTTGATACAGCTGTTACTAACACATGAACACTGAACAGTTTATTTTTCTTGTAACGAGATGAGCATATGTTGCACTTAAGTCTATTTTATCTACTACAGCAAGCTTTGAGCTCTGTAGTACTTTAGTTAGTCCCAGTCACAAGAAAAAATGAAGAATGAGCTATAACTGAGCCAAAAGAACCAAAGATGTAACAAACACAGCATTTACTAACTCCGAACATGTCTCTCTGAATGCTACAAATTTCAGAGTATAATGTGAAAGTAAGAAAGCCTGAGTGTCTTTCAAAATTTCCTGGCCTAAGATAGGACACTTCTCCCTCAGACTCTAGTTATGTTCTTAAAAAATAACTATGCTAATATATGGTGTTTTGCCCTGCTTAGTGATGCTTGTGGCATAGTTCCCCATCACTACAAATCCAGTGAACAGAAAACATGTTTCTCTGATATTACAGGAACAGTGCTTGGTCCTACGGACTAGAGTTCTGTGGCAACTTGAGTCCAGCTGTTACACGTTCTGACAGAAAGGAATCACATTTCCATTCTGTCTGCAACACAACTGCAAATCTGTTTATCGTGTGCAAGAATACGTTTTTATCTAGGGTTCCCACAGTTCTGTTAGTGCCTCATTGGCAGCGTAGGGAGGTGAGGTAGACAGAATGCCTAAGTTAAATACATTTCCAGGAGGAGGAGAAACACAGATTAAGGAAATGTCAACTGTTTTAAGTTGAGTAGTCTGTAATAAGCGCTGGAGAAAGTTGTTGGTGTTTTTCATCTCCTTAATAGATCCTTTAACACACAAATGAATCGCTACCTGCTGCATTTCTGTCCTTTCTGCCATGGTGGTATTTGGCCTTCTCTCATCAGTAGGAATTTGAACAGGGACACTTGGCAGATGTGTCTTCACATCGGGGAGAATCCAGACACAATACCCAGTTAGAATAGCAAACTGAAATTCACTGGGATTCATTATGGACCTCAGCTTTTGGAGTATGGTTCAGTAGGAAGCCAGCTGATCTGCTATGGTGAAAGTGGGCAGTTGCTGTATGGCCCCATCCTACAGTATCTTTAGTGTCTGACAGATCATTTGCAACCTGATTCTGATGTATTCTGCAAGATGAAAAATTTCTGGGCAGCAGGGCATGAAAAATTAAAATTTTCTTCCAGTTCAGCAACTTGAGTCCACTCAGGAAGGGATCTGAAAGTATCCAAGAGATCTCAGGAGGGACAGCCGTTCCCGTTTTATAGCAGAGAGCTTTAGGAAAGCTCAGCCACATCATCTAACCATACCCTGTGATTTGTAGGACTTCAGAAACTTCCATTTCATAGCAGTTCACTTTCCTCAAGAGGTCTACAGAAAGAGAGCGGCATCAAAGAGGATGGATTTACTAGACTTGCAAGAACTAAAGAGAAGCTTGGAAGTTGAAGTATCTCCTTAAACCTGTTGAAGTCTTTTCTTTGGCAATTCTGTAACTGATCCAAAACAGACAATACAGCCAACTGTTGCTTCTAAAGGAAAACACTCGTGCTGACTTTTAAGTAACCAGTTTATTCTTTTTGTAGCCTTAGTTTACCTTTAGAGCCTGCTGCTTTACCCTGAAGTGGTCATTTACATTGTAGAGGAAGAGTAAGTTGAGGGTGTTGTTAAAACAAAACCAGGTGAAACTTCTTAGGACTAAGTAACTGAACTTGAGTAATGTGGGAAAGTGTTAGGTGTGATGCTTTCCCCAACATGAGGAGAAAAAAAAAAGGCAAAACTTGAAATAACAAGGTGCTTCTCAAATTGTGTGTTGCAGCACAGCTTTGCCCTATCCACAGTGCTTTTCATCACCATTGGCAGAAGAATAGGACCCTAGAGGCAAAAACTTCTATACTTTCTGCAGTTCATAATGATACAGTCAAACTTTAAGTGTATCACAAGTTACTGTTAAATGATAGGTCTGAATTATCCCTGTATCAGCAAGCTAGTGCCATTTGCTTTTCTTCTATAATCTGAGATGGTTTCAGAGGGCCCAGTTTTTTCCTTACTGAGGTTTTGTAATGAGAGAACTGGCGTACAGCACTTCTCAACCATAGTTTAAGGGCTTTTCTAAAATATTTCATTATTCTCTCAAAGATATGGAGGACAGAGGTCATGTGGACTTGCCCAATTTCCCAATATACGTTACTGACAGAGGCTGGAACAGCCATCAGAGAGCAATTTGCCTTAGTTTGATATTTAATAAGATCTGTTTTGAGAAGAAGAAAAATGGACGCTGAAAGCAAACTTTTTAATCATGTAAGAGATAATGAATCCCTTGTTCCTTATTCATTCTGACTATGGAGGTTTTCTTCTGTAGCCAGTGCCAGATTTTTTTTTCCCCTTTTATTCTGTAAAGTGAATGAAAACAGGATTTTTATAATAGCTTTTGTCTATGGCATAGCCTTTATCAGTGAGATAGAGGTTTTCCATTATTTCCAGCTGGGGGTGCTAGTTGCATATAATGTACAGAGAAGGGGTGGCTGCTTCTTCCAACTGCTTCTTCCAACTCTTCTTCTGGCCTACAGTCAAACACAACCCTGCACTGTGCATGTCTCAACCCTGTTTTCCTTGTTAACACAAGTAGCGGATTCAGGTGTGTGAGAAAGGTTGTAGACCCATGTGCAAGCAACAGGCCTGGACTCCAGGGTTAATGTTCTATAGTATGGAAAGATCACAGCCAGCCACTCTTCTCCAAACACCGCCCTGTCCTTCCAAAGACAAAACTTGGGATAGACTGCCAAAATCTTCCAGCAGTGTGTGAGAAGATGCTGCTGTTCTACTGTTCTAAGGCAGTGGAAGCCATATTCTCATCAGTCTGGACACAAAGATAGGAGGTGGCAACATGTCAATATGGAGTGCTGGCGGCACATCTCAAAGCGGGAGCTGTGCTGTAATTGTTTCCAGATAAAAGCACCGCAGGACAAGGTGATGAGCAAGAGGCTGACGATTCATTTTGGACTGTAGGTGCTCCTGCAGGTTTCTCCTTGCAAAATTTGGTTGTGTCAAAGTTGCTGAAGATGTTATTCCCTTCTCTGTTACCTTCTTTGAGAAATACAAAATTCTGAAGTAAAATCTCCAGGAGGCCACCGTCTCTTCTGAAACAGACAGCTCTGCTTAGAGGAATACGGCATTCAATGACTCTCTTCACCGAGAGTTTGCATCTTGTAAGTAGCAGATCAGACAGAGAAGTGTTTCAGTGTCATCTTCCACTTCCCTGCCATTATCAGTCCTAAAAATAGTCATGTGAATTTGTGATCCCATAGGCAAAATAATTTATTAACCTCCATGGGACCAGAATTTTACTTCAAATAGTGAACTACTTTCCATTTCCTTTGACATGTGGGGAGACTGAACAAGTCCTTCTGTGACTTCGCAAGCCTAGCAGGTCTGCCACCTTCGTTTTCCAAAAACAAGAAAGGATGTATCATACGTAAATTTGAGGGGGTTTTCTTCTTTATAATAAATCCAGCAGGCTCCCAGCACATGCATCTCTTTAATCAAATGTGTTAAAGTGTAGCCTTAAAACGAGAAGGCATATACCCCCACTGAATATATATTTATGGAGGCATATGCAACTTTGTGAAAACTGGAAATTTACTCTTTTGATAATGAACGTTGGCAGGGTTGCAAAGCTCCATAATGTACTATCCCTGTAATGTAAAAAGAGCTGGAATACAAGAAGAACTTATTACCTATTTCTGGCCAATTAGAAAGCGCATACACAATGTCCTGTCTTCTT